ATATAATATATCAAATGTTTATTCAAATAAGAAATGAGAAGAATATATGGGAAAGTAGTTAAACAAAAGATGACAACAAGAGATGCAAAGTTATAAAACTAATGTTACCTTTTAATAAAAATTTGTTTTATTTTAACAAATTTTGTTAAATTCAAATAATATGATCAGGACTTGAATAGTAAATATCATTTATACAAACATCGCACCAATAGTTAGTTAAGTTTGACATTTGTTGTCAAATTGTCTTAAAATGCTTGGCTATACCTCAAAGTCTTGACGTGAAGAATCATATGAACAAAACATTAACACAAAGTTTATACAAATGTTTATAATTTGTATTTAAAAATAAGTAATTTTATTCTTTCTTATTATTATTTGTTTTATACATAAATTATAATACACTTCACTAACTAATAAAAATATATACAACTTTGCAAACAATCAAATATATGTATGTATTTTAATAATTTTCAATGTATTGGGCGTCAACTGTGAGAAAAGTTTTAACAAGTTTTTAGTGTTAATAAATATCTCTATATATTATTGCCATTTCATAGACACATAAATAAAATTAATGAAATATATTTTTTAAAATATCTAATATATATATATATTTACTATATATGTATAGTTTTGCCGATAAATTGTTATATTATTAATAATATATACAATGTTTTATGTTTAACATCATTGCGAATGCGTTAGTTATTGAGTGTAATTAAAAGATTAAATATAAATATGAATTCCCAATAAATTATAATTTTTTGAGATACAGTCACCACCAGTGATATTGTCAATCATACGACAAGAAATAAATTGTTTTATATATTTATATATTAAAACTTATATCAATCGATGTGTACATAAATATATATAAAATTACATTTACAGTGTGTTTGTGTGTGCATTAGGATAGAGATAAAAAAGTCGTGGAGTTATAAAGCAATAAATACAACAACAATGCAATTGAATGGTAAGGTGTGTGCGGCAAAAAAGGTACACAAAAGAGCATTAAAGGCCGGGTGGTCTCTATGTATGTATGTGTGTGTATGCCATCAACACACAAATACATACCGATCCTAAATTAGGATTCCTAATGTAACTATTTTGCAATTTTCTACCATGCTCATTGCTCAACTATAAATTGATGCTTATTGTTTGCATCAAATTGACATTACAATCAATTGCCAGTACCTGTTGATGACTGATGGCTTTTATAGCCAGTGGTGACTCTACTCTACTCTAATCATATTTATTCACTTATTAGACAATAGCTTATTAATATTGGATGCCATGTAACTAATATACACTACTATTACAATAATTCATGTGATTTTTATTATTATTATATAATATAATATGCTTTGCAATCAATTTATTATATTTTCGTGTTTTATAATTATATATAGTTTTATATATTTGATTATTTAATTATTGACGCAAAGCTTAAAACAGAGAAAAGAGAGAGAGAGACTAATTTATTACATATCGATATAAGGTATCAAAATTGTAAATATGTAGAAATAAAACAAAGCAATAAGTTATAAAAATGATAACTTTTTGGGTTCAATATCTTAAATTTTTATCGTAACTATAAGTTAAACATGTTTTATGACTATTTATTGCGTCCAATATCTATTGCTTATAACATTTTTCTATTGCTTTTTCATATATATTTATATACACCAATAGTGTTCATACAATTGCTAAACAATAATATATTACTATTAATGGCGTTTTGACTATAATATAATAAAACTTTGATCGCAAAATATAAGACTTTATATATAATTAAATACAACACAAACTGTTTTTTATGTACACTTCAAGTCCAAAACTAATGTATAAAAATCTATAAAAGTTTTTTCAACACAATATGTGCGCTCAATAACTGATAATGAACTGCGGTTTGGCTTCTGATAACTGGCCATAAAAATTGTTTTTACTTAAGACATACAATAATAATTGCGACAAAGGTTTATAAATCAGACCAATAATTGAAATTATAACCAAACAGAAGATGACATTAATATGATTGTAAACATTATATACATTATATTGTATACACTTTTGTCTCCCTCTCCGCAAGTATTACATAGTGTTTGTCAGTCACTAAACACTCGCTTTTCCTCTCAATTGAGCCTTAAATTCAATTCACTCGCAAATCAAATCAATAAATCAATGGATTTAATATCGGGTAAAGTAGTGGATAGGGATTACATGACTGTACGTTATATTATAAATAATCTTATTTTTTATGACCGATCATAAAGAATGGCCAAAATAAGAGCACAATATTTACGATTATTATTATTATTATTACTATTTCTGTATATATTTTCTCATTTTTTCGTAACTATTGTTTTTGTCTCAATTATCGTCAATGAAATAAACGTAAAATACTGAGCAAAGAATGTGATTGAAATAATAACATAACTGAGCTATTGATAGCATTGACTAAACTTCGCACACAATATCTCTACACACAAAAAGAGTGACATTTTTTGACAACAAAATCTATAATAATAGTCTCTATCCATAACATGAAATAGTTTATTGATATGACATTTCATATCCAAACATATACTTCAATTGATGGCTCCGATACACTGATTGTTTGTTCATTTAATGTACTGTATATGTAGTGCTATGGATATGCGCTTATGACTGACTTATAAGTAGATATATATTTAAGTGTTATATAGTCTTGAATATTACAATTATTACATTATATTGATGTTATGTCTTACGATTACTACTACTATTACTATTATTATTATTATTTGTTATATACATTAACTCTGTACAATAATTTATAACCAAAATTTATATACAACGTATAGAAATTGGTAGTAAAATAATTTGATGGCAATCCCAGTCCTCATAACTAAGTTAAGAGAATTGGAGAGAAAGAGTCGGTAACTAACTGTAGTCATACACGCAATGACATACAGGCGCTGAAAATTGAGAAGTTTTTCAAATCAACTCCTAAGCCTCTAAAACCTAACCAAACCATACATACAGTATATAAAATATATACACACCGTATATAAGCACTCAATTCAATGCAATTAATTATTAAAAGAGCACATAATATATATAACCAATACTCTACTAAATATTATAGTGAAGTGCATGTAATTCAAACTACAACTATAAAAATGAGTTTTCTCTCCGACTATACTCTCAAATCTCAATCTTTTTTCTCTTTTACTATTTCTGCTACTCTTTAACTATCAGCTCTCTCTCTCTCTCTCTCTCTCTCTCTCTCTCTCTCTCTCTCTCTCTCTCATACAGAGTTGACGACACAATAAGATAACGAAGAAAAATACGCTTTTGCTCTCAATTTATTGTACTAAAAGTAATAATATATGAATTAATGAGAGTAAGTACAGCACTCGACACAAGTAAATAACATGTAATCATAGCCACAACCCCTCACATCCAACACACACACATCACATAGACATCAAACACTACTGAATATAGCCTACAAATGAGAAAAAGAAAGAGAGAGAGAGAGAGAGAGAGAGAGAGCACAGGGATGACGAGGCAAAGACAAGTAATGTCATCAATTTTATGCTCCAATTTTATAATATGTCCCTGATACAACTGTTTAAAAAACCAATGGTGCTCTCTATATCTTATACTATGACATAAGGATAAATTTTTATATAACTTTGTAATTTTGTAAAAAATAGTAAAACACAGACAATTAAATTATTTCTAATATACCATCAAATAGAGTAGTAGTCAATAACGGGATGATAAACCAACCGAATAGACCAACCATTTCATATAAAATGGTATATATTTTACGATTCAACTAAACACTAATGTCACCTCAATAAACGTGATATATATAACAGTTTATTTAATTACATTTTAAAAGTATGTTTCAAAATAATAATAATAATACTAACAAAAATAATAATGGATTAATGTTATTTTATTCTAATAAAAAAATAATTTGCCAACAAATAAATCCCAGCAATATATATATATATATATTACAAAATCACATATAAAAAATCAAGTCCTACATTAAATCATATACTTTAATGTGAAACAAAACTATAAACACAATACGATAATTAAATCACACACTCACACAATATACATGTGAATAGATTTATAAATGTATTGCAAAATATCTCAATAATTATTTTTAATATTATAATTAATATATATTATAATTTAAAAAAAATATAAAACAAATAACTTATATTATTATAGATGAACAAAATACGTGTGGGTATTATTCATCATGTATTCAAATGCGACCTTATTTTTCTCTGTAGATAATTGTTTGGGAAAATCGGTATTCAATGACAGTTCAGTTAAAGGGATGCATTCAATCATAAACCGTATTGCAAATTGCATTTCGCGTATATATGAATTGAAGCAAATGTATAATTAAATCATAATTACATTAGCCATCAGTGTCTTTGTCTCTCTCTCTCTCTCTTCTCTCTCTCTCTCTCTCTCTCTCAATGTCTTATGGGACATATATATATATATATATATATATATATATATATATATATATATATGAGACAAATGTCGACAATAATATATGTATAATATTACAAGTAGTTATGTCAGGAAATAGGGTGGCCATCAAACAAAATTTATTATCAATTAAAGTAAATTATTAAAAATCAATTTAGTAATTAATATCGCAGTAAGTAATATAGCAGTAAAAAATTTAAATTTACAAACTTAAATTAATATATAAAATTGACAAATTTGCTACAATAAATAATAAAAATTATTGACTTAAAAATTATAACTATATACTTAATATAATAAAAAATAGATTGATTAAACTTTTAAATTTTGTCTAATTTCAAGGACAAAATGGTAACTCTCTTTTTTAGTATAAGTATGAATATTGGTAATAATATATGACATAAAAATTGCATTGCATTTTAGTTATTTAATTATATGTTTGATAATATATTGAAACAATAAAACAAAAGAGATGTCCGATTGCTTACCTCTTTGTTGTTTTCCTTCTCTGTTTCGGCCATTTTATCATTGATTATAATATCATTTCTTTCTTCTAATAATTGTCTCCTATTTATCTCCTGTTTCTTTGCTTGCAATACCTGTCCGATCACTGACTCTGAGTTTGTCGTCAATTCGTCACTAGAATTGTCTTGTCTTTGGTCTTCAATGAAGTCTTGTGTTTCCCGTTTGCTTGAGTTTGTGATTGTCGTCAGTTCTGTGCAAACAATAGCAGACATTCATCAATAAATGAAATGTTTATTATTAGACAATTTGTGCTAAATTTTTCATATATTTCATTATTAGCATTATTATTGTTGTTTTGTGTTATTACATGAAAACAGTTTGCCATAAATTATACTCAAAATAAAGTCATATAATAAAAAAAGATTAGTAGAGAAGGAAATCGGAAAATATGTATTTCTCTCAATGTTTGTCGCGATTTTTAAGTTAAAAAAGATTTAAAAAGACATTTATTTCATATGTTTTTCTTTCTTTCTCTTATATATCGTTATGTAGTGAAAAGCAGGTAATGCTTTTGCCAACAGAATTACATACAGTATAGCTGAGACACACATAAATTATACAAACTATATATACTGTACATTATATACAAGCACTGGTATGCTATATACATAAATATATTTTTTAGCTTATATACCGTGAGAGAGGGAGAGAGAGAGAGAAACTTTTCATTGCTAAATACAACTGCACTTTCTTTATGACTACTATTCTCTCACTAATATATATGAAAAGTTGGTTATAAGTCAAGTGATTTGTATTTGAGAAAAGGCAGTCAAACAGCACATTAAAAAATGAGTTAGTAGTGTGTGAGAGGGGTATATAACACATATTATAACAGAAAGAAAGTTTTTTAAACATTTAATACACATATAATAAGTTACATAAACATAAAAATTTATATAATATATATATACAATTGGGAAGAACAGGGAGCACAACAAACAAGAGAGTTAACCATCAAATCATTGCTTCCATACTAACAGCAATAGTTGTATTTGCATCGAGGGATTTGTACCGGTTGTGCACCTGGAGTACAGTACCACCGCTAGCGAGTAGTAGCGACCAAAAAGTCAGGCCTACCAGTCATAAGCACTGGTATTTATAGTTTGGCAAAAACTAAACCAAACTCTATGAAAATTTTCTATTATATGATTGTTTGGATGTTAACTCATTCCCTACCTAATGGCAGGTATGCCTATAAGTTATTAGATGTGCGATAATGTAATATAAAACTATGGTTTCAGACAGTTGTGTGTGCGCTTCAACATTAACTCAAACAGCAAATATACCTACCAGTGCTCTGATTGTGTGGTTAGCCCTCTGAGAGATAGGAATGATTGTGATGAGGATTGAGCTGAGGGAATGAGTAGTGACTGTTTGGCACACAAAATGATACTTATTATATAACTCACTCTACTTAATAAAGTTAGATAAATAAACCCAAACTATAAGTTATTTAATGGTATATACGGTATATATGCGGTTAATATATTTAAAAACAACTTATAGCTAATAAACTTGTTTTTTCTTTACTCAAAATATTATTTTTTATTATTTTTCTTTCGTTTCAGTGAACAACACATAAAATATGGCAAACAATGATATTAGAGAAAAATTATAAACATTTTGCTTCTGTTTTATATATATATATATATACTGTAAATCATATATCATATACTAGTGCAATACAGAGTCACCTGTACATTGAGCAATACTATTCAACATTATATATATATATAATATGTATATAAATTTCTATACATTGTTTCATCAAATTATTGTTTTGTGGCTCTACTGAAACTTTCATAATATTGTAAATATTTCTTGGAAATACATAGCAGTGCAGTCAATATTGGCAAAGCAATGGCCCATTGCCTGCCAGTGCCCTATCATTACTATATGATATAATATTATTATTATCATCATCAATGGTATAGATCTGATTATAAATAAAATAGTAGTAGATATATGATGGGCATCGCATCGTAAAAATGTATATCTTTTTGATGTCTGTGCGCTAATACAATAGCGATATACAATTTATACGGTATATGTATAGATATATACAGTATATATATACACACATACTGTACATACATCGTAACAAAATAATGTCAATAAATTATAATTTTAGCTTTTTTTCTGTTTCCAACAAATACAGACAAATGGCGATAAAGTTTTTCTATATATAATATATAAAACAATTAGTGATATACAGAATAACAATAAATTGATGGCAAATGTCTATTATCATAGGCATAGAAAACTATGTATGTGTGCAAACATCTCATATCCATTGACTCGAGAGCACCATTGCATTAGCGATAGCTTCTACTATTGCCTGTATTGATGGCTATACGCAAACACATACACACATATCTATCTAAATTTATACACACATCTATAGCCCTTAAATCATGTTGGAAATCAAGTTAGTCAGACCATTATTTTTAATGTGTGGCATTAATAATGGGCACAATTTGTGGTGCATTCCAGTTGATTACTAACTAACTGTGCTCTCACTCTACACATACACTCTCTATTGATTATGAATTAAATGCATTTTCCTATTGCTTTATATTAGAGAAAAATTGTTAACAAAATGCCAAAGTTTTCTCTAAAATTTCTCTCTCTCTCTCTCTCTCTCTTCTTTCTTTCTCTGCCTCTTTCACTCACCATATCTATCAATGTTTGATACCATTACACACCACTAACTCTTTAATTCCCTGCAAAAACATGAAGCCATTGACTGATTTTTAAATTAAAAACCAGTGATAGAAAAGAAAACATTAGAAAGAAAATAATATACAGTTTTTGGGCTTAAAATTGTCACTAATTAGTATGCGTATACATGTATCCCATTATTATTATTATATTGTAAACTAAATTTTATAAGTAAATAACTTTATTTTTAGGAAAAACACTTCAAATACATCTCCCTTTCCTCTCTCTCTCTCTCTCTCTCTCTCTCTCTCTCTCTCTCTCTCTCTCTCTCTCTCTCAAATGTTAACAAGTGTCGTAATAAAGCATCATAACATTTGGTTTTAAAACAATTTTCAGTGGAAATATAGTATTAAAAAAATTATGTAACATTTTATTATAAATATACTGTATTTTGCTTCAAAAACACTAGAGTACTGTATACATAATCAACTCACATAAATATTTTATTAATAAATTAAATAAGCAATGGTGTGGTTTTTACCAAACATTTATATGAAAAATATATTTTTTAAAAATAAATATAACAATATCTATATTCATGTGCCATAAGTCTAACGTCTTTTAATCTAATGATAAAACTGAATATTATTATAAAAATATTTTTTGATTCCTATTTAAAAGAGACATTTTTCAGTAGTAGTTATATTAAAAGCGAATGAAATATTTGTTATTTAGTTTGGGCTTTGATTAAAGTTATTCAATTTGACAGCAGATATAAGTCATTGAATTAAAATTGTCGTTTAGGTATTAGCTGTTTGGCAAAACACATACATCAGTAGTTTATATGTATTAATATAACATTATAAATGGTGTATCAGTGGTTTGAATATATAATTGCGATATCAAAGTAAATGGGAGAAAATGAGAGAGAGAGAGAGAGAGAGAGAGAACCGGGAGTATTAGGAAAGGGCTATTTATAAGTTTCTGGCCTAATATATAGCATTGATGAGCAATACTGGTTTTGAATTTGAAATTATTTCAATCAACCGATGACCCGAATTTTGCAATTAATGTTTCAGTTTATATTTGAATTCCCCTATCAGTGAACTATCGGATGCAATCCCTGAGCTTATAACTCTTGTTTAGATAGATATTAGTTATATAAAAAATATGGCAAAATGTGAAAAGAATTTCAAAATAAGTAATAAATTTTTGGTTATAAAAACCAATTATTATTACTACTACTACTACTATTATCATTATTATTAGTATTATGATTATTATTATATATCTTCAATATATTTATAAATAGCTATATATTATATTTATAAAAAAAAATTTGTTCAGAAATTTATTGTAAAAGACGGATAACTTTTCAACAGTTATAATAACAGTAATGCTTTCAAATGGCATCACTTTAATAGCCTATGATATACAGTATATATAATGCATTGAATTGAATTGATTTTAGGCTTAAAAATTGTTGCCGTATTAGATATGACTGATTGAAATGAGAGGAAGCCTTTAAAAGATATCAACTCACGTCTCTCCCAATACCAACTCAATTGATGGCCTGTAATGTATACTCAATGGCTTTATCATGTGTTGAGATCTACTTTTTCCCCTTTTTTCATAAATGTCTTACAATTTTTTATTGCTTATGGCATCTCTTGAAAGCCAATATAACAACTTATTGATGACAACATTCACATTCTTTTGTCAATTTTGTCAAATAAATAGCTCACTGCTGGCCAACAACTGGCAAATACTGATGTGATGCCAAACATTGAAAGTCACCAAAATTTATGACAAACAACTACTTATCAATGGGAGAGACAAATATTGTTAAAAGAGAGAGAGAGAGAGAGAGAGAGAGAGAGCACCCATAGCCTGATCGCCAGTGCTTATCGCACAGGATATACATGGGTCTCTTATTAATGGCAATAAACCATAAATATATAGATACTATGTTTGTGTGAACACACCATACAAGCCATACCAGGATGAGGATAGGATGCCTTTAATAGTTATTGATCTTTATATATGAGTTTTTGGGGGCCGATATCCGCTTTTTTAAAGACAAATATAACGTTATATAACATTGTATGAGATGAGAATAGCATTATATAAATCATTACCAGAGAGAGAGAGAGAGAGAGAGAGAGAGAGAGAGAGAGAGAGAGAGAGAGAGAGAGAGAGAGAGAGAGAGAGAGAGAGAGAGAGAGAGAGAGAGAGAGAGAGAGAGAGAGAGAGAGAGAGAGATGTGCATTAGATTTTAAACAGACATTACATATAAAGCTAAAAATCCTGTGTTAAGGGGGGATAACATTGTAAATACAATAAATCAATTGTTAAGAGAGAAAGAGATGATATAATATATATATATAAAAAGCGAAACTCAAGAATTGTTAAAATAAATATTGCCGTCGGAGTCGAGCGTTGATCCAATAAATTGAACACATATTATGTTATATATTATTATTATTATTATTACATTATCGGATGAAAAATGCTTTCAATGAATATATT